AATTCCAGACAGAAGAGACTTCCCTTTGAGTGGTTGGTGAGAGTGGTCCAGGAGACTCCTAAAATAACATGGGCTATTGCCAAAACTCCTGGTTATCTCCCAGAACTAGTAGATAAGGCCCTATTGCCGAAGACAGGACATATTTTGGATATAGAACTTGGAGCAATGGAGCAGGAACTGACCTGGAAGCCTTATACCTGAAGATTAGCTCTCATGATAGAAAATGATAATATACAAAGTGCTAAGGGAGAAAATCAATCAACAATCCAATCTGGCCCTAAAACCTAAAAACCATAACAACTGGCACAGTAAACTACCTATATTGATGCAGAAGTGGCACTGTTATCTGGGGTGTAATCAATGGCTATCTAATTGGACTTAAAGCCCTCTCAATGGGAGTGAACTCATGGGAGGCACTGTAAACTCAGCCAAATACATATGGCTGGAAAAGATATAGATTCTAAGGAAAACCATATCTCTTTCATATCTCTAGACAAATGAAATTTCTTACCACATGCTAAATATGGGTCCTTATATTTACAGACAAGCATACAGCACTCATCAGAGAAGCTTCTTTTTGCAGCAGATGGAGGGTACTGCAGAATTCCACAACTGGTTAGACACAGAGAATATACATCTAAGAGATGCCCAGTACTAGATGACATATCTACAGTTGAATCTCTACACCTAAAGCTCATGGAACATAGCGGAACAGGGGTAGAAAGAAAACTAATGTATCGCTCGATTCTCACCAGTGACGCTTCCTTATACAACAGAGTGTAACGCACACAGAAGACCACAACTGGCCAAGTTTTAAAGAATAAGAGACTGAAGTGTGTGTATTCCTGGATAGGACTCCTATAATAAACCTCAGCCCATGTCTCAGGGACCATTTAGGAAGAGGGAGCAGAAAGATTGTAACTGGGCTGGTTCATGAACACAGGGAAGCAGAGGCTTTCAGGCCACTGGAAGCTTGCACATGTGAACTTGTGACAATGGTGGCAGTGAGCACAGGATCCATGCTAACTCAATTAAACAAGAGCCCAGAGGAGAGGAGAGAAATGGGTGGTGGGTTGACCCCAGACTGAGAATTATTGGAGACTGATTGCTGCTGGGAGAGGGAGAGTGTGCCTTACTTATGATCTCTATTTGGGCTGACTAGACCCCAGTAGATGAATTTGCACAGGACATCTGGGTACATATACTTGATTAGATAGGACTTAACATGTATTTCAGAAAACATGAGGTTCAGTGAGGGGATGGGGGATGGATGGGGGAGGGGATCTAAATTTGATTAAGAAATGTTGATTGAAATAATAAAGGCTCAATAAATTTTTTTTAATTTAATGACAAAACTGTGGAGATGATGAACATGGTTGAGGAATACAGGTTAAAACAAAACAGGTGATTGTGATGAGTTCTTTCATAATAAAATGACTGTATTTGGTGATAGTTACATGAATCTATACATGGGATAAAATACACACACACACACACACATACACACACGCACAAATGTAGGTTGAAATGGTAGAAAATAAATAAAGTATGTAGTCTAGATAATAACAATATATAAATCTCAATTTCCTGGACTAGGTGTAGCTCACTGGTAGAGTGCTTACCTAACATGCACAAGGGCTCAACTTGATCCTCAATACCACTAAAAGTAAAAAGATCTCAATTTCCTAGGTTTCATATTGCCCTATAGATTACAAGATGTCATCATTGTGGAGAAGTTACACTAGAGTATGCAGAACTCTTATTTTTCTTTCCCCTTTTTTTCAGTTTACTAAATTATTTCAAAATAAAAATTTTAAATTAAAACAGGTTCTAAGTTTGTGCAACTTCCCTGCCAGTCAATATGATACCAATTAAAACTCAGCTTATTAAAATATGCCATATGTGTACAATTTTCTAGAAAGAATATGTCAGACGTTTATCTCAGTAATAGTTAAAGAAATTCAAGGAATTTCAACACACATACTTCATTAGGAAGAAGCTTAAAGTATCAAATCACTACTCCTTTCAGAGCTACAAAGACCAGGTGTTTCAATGTACACCTGTGGTCATGGAAAGAGAGCTTTGGCAGTCTAGTGGGAAGTGGCAGCTGGGTCGCTTTGGCGCCTTGACTGGGAGCAGTGCCTTTCGCTGGAGGTGGCTCTGGAGTCTTCTGCCATGTTGCCTTGTTCAACTGGAAGGTTGACAGCTGTACCTCTCCTTTCATACCAGGCAAACAAACTGCACAGCAGAAAGCTGTAAATGAAGCCATTACCTGTACATTTGGCATTTCTTTCCCATCCACCAAGGAACTTCCTGATGAGGCTGTCCTTGTGAACATGGCAGAACACTGCAGATCACAACCATCCCAGCCAGAGAGGTGAGCTCCATGGTCTTTCAGAGTGAAAAAAAGTTGATTCTTCAAATTAATTAATCATAATCATGTACACTATATCATCTATGAAAAATTATACATACAGGCAAAAGGCAAGAAACAATGAAAAAGAACCAAAACAGTGATAGGATAAAGACATATTTCCATTTGAAATACTTGGCTTTATTTCAATAAAAATTTCTGAAGAAATTTTTTTGAGGTAAATTCCCACTACACAGCCCTGGCTGACTTGAACTCACAAAGATCTGCTTGCCTCTGCCTCCCGGGTGTTGAGATTAAAGATATGCACTACAATGTCCCCCCGCAAAAAAAATTTTATTGATTTATCAAACAAATAATTTTTAAGACCAGAACCAACCTGGTTCACTGGATCAAGTCTCCAGTACAGGATATGTTATTAGAGGTACTACAAATCCAATTGCACATAGTTCAGTTCAACAAATATACCATACGAATATTCCTTAAGAACATAAAGTCAAGACATAGCTTTGGGTGGTGAAAGAATGAGTGAAAAAGGTACCCTTCTATGCTTTGTGGAAGAACACAGGCACACAGGTTAATAGAACCTGTCATTTTTACCACTGTCAATGAACATGCAAATTCAGTGTTATGGTAATGATTAAAAAAAGACTCATGAAAGAAATCTTCACATAGTTCAAAAGGAAGTAGATGTCTTAAACTGTACCCCACAGATGAAACAAGAATTGTTGGCTAGAATCTTCAGGAACATACTGAAAGATTGGCAGCATATTTATAAAAACTTGAAAATTTTAAATATTTTAGAATTAAAGTTCACACATTTATAGAAATTCAGGTATAATAAATCATTGATTACTTGCTAACTACAAGGATATCTACATAAAACCCTGTATTGGAGTGTTTATGAGATACTTTCCAAGGCCCTAACTTCTCCAGAGATACCACAGGGCACAGAAAAACAACTTGATACTAAGGGACACACACACACACACACACACACACACACACACAGGCACGCACACACGCACACACGCACGCACGCACGCAATCCATAGTAGCTACATATAAGGAAGACCTGAACCTGACAGGTAACAGGAGGATGAAATTCAACCCAAGAGGAGCCTGCCAGATTGGGTGGAAATGAAACAACCTATATTCCTCTCTGATGAGGAATTTTACATTTCAAAAAAGCAGCAGAAGTAGCAGAGGAGAAAGTACAGAGACATTAGAAGAAAACGAAAATTGAGCCCTGATTATGGCAAAGCAGAAATGTACAAGGCAACTGATACCCATGTCTGAAAGAGGAACAAGCTTGCTGGGCTTCCAGCATTCCTGCTAGGCCCCCAGAGCTCTGCCATATGCTGAACTGACATTCCAGGTCTCCTTCAGTTCACTTGCCAAGGCATTTTCCTACTGCACATAAATTTACCCTTCACCAGAGGTAATCTTGAGACAACACTGAACTTGTACTCCAGGAAAGCAATGGCAGTCAGGAATTCTGCCCACTCTTTTGTATTCTGAGAGACAGCTTAACAGATCATCAGCACTCTTTCTCATGACTTACAGAAAACTCAGTAGCCTCTGATAAGTTCATATACCAACACTACAAGTTCCCAGTCCATTGTCTCATACTTGAACTTTTGGTCTCCATTTTCCATTCTAGTTGGTTAAGCCTGGGTAATAGACTTCACCAAACTTTAATCATTCTCTCCTTATTCCAAACCTCTGACTACTGATCCACCATGAGTAGTGGAAGGTGCCACCGCTTTTTAGTGGCTCTTTAATCAGGTGACTCAGAAGAAATACTTTCCATCTAATTTCCTGTCAGTCCCTCATTGCATTCCCTTTAGAAATTTTCACTATGCTTGCTTCCTCCTGCTTATGTAAGAAAAGCCCTTTCCTGCTTTACCTTTGAGACGCTTACAGGTATCCTGGTCAAAACAGTTCTCCTACTACAGCTCTCCTTGGCCTCCAAGACCATCATCTCCTCTTCCCTTTGCTATCTTAATCGTCTTTGGGATTAAAGGCTCTCCTTATCTAAGTCTAGACTGGTTTTTACATGATACTTTTAACATGCAAAGGGGGTCTAACTTTCTAAATCACAAATTAAACCATTATATACCCTGTTATTAATACTTATTTTAGAACATCACAATTGTTATGTGTTACATTGATGTATAACCACATTATAAAATATAGGAGACACAGAACAACATAAATGACATGCTGTCATCTTTCCTCCAATGTTCAAAAAGAAAAATTAGACAATAATTAAAATATGCCGTCTAAAATGCAGTTAATAATGAGAATGAAAACTTAAAGCCAAATAATGGGGGTTTTAAAATAAGAGAAATAATTTCTTCACATTAAAAGCTTGCTGAACTTGTACTTATTACTAACTCAAGCATGAAACTAGCAATCATATAACTGCTGAAATTCTTTCTAAAGAACTTTATGCAACAAATTGTTATTCCAGTAGTCCTGTGGCCTTAGTTGGTAGACATAAATTTTCAATGTTTTTAATCAAGAAGGAAAATATTTATTGCATTTCTATACCAGGATGGTATAGAAAATTGATTTGAAATATTAAATAGACACAGAGCATATCACAGAAAAGTGAACTACTTACCTGCATTGACTATTGCATCCACCTCTAGTAATGTGATGTCACCTCTGTAGAGAGAAACCTTTTCACTCAAACTTTTCTTAACTTGTGATGTTTCCTGAATGTTTTCCTCTGTAATAAAAAGGGTTACAAGTTAGCAGTAATATTCTTAATTTAATTAAGAACTTTTGTGTATGTATGTGTAAGATATGTGCGCACAGAAGTGTGCACATGTTCGTGGGTGTGAGTGTGCCATGGTGCTTGTGTGGATGTGAAAAGATAACATCAGGTGTCAGTCCCCGCCTTCCACCTCATCGCCACTTCCTGGGCCAGGCTAGTGGCCTGCAAACTTCCAGGGACTGTGCTTTCTTTCTCCACCAGTGTGCCATGGTGCTTGTGTGGATGTGAAAGAATAACATCAGGTGTCAGCCCCCACCTTCCACCTCATCACCACTTCCTGTGCCAGGCTAGTGGCCTGCAAACTTCCAGGGACTGTGCTTTCTTTCTCCACCGCCACACCCTGGTCTTCTTATGTGGGTTCTGGGAATTCACAAATTCACATCTTCATGCTTACATGGCAAGTGCTTTTAATCACTGAGCCACCTCCCCAGGACTAAAAGGCAACTTTTTAATCAAGATAACTTACAAGAGCCTACATGGATCACACTATTACAAAGAACGATTTTAGATATGTGTAAGTACCAGGGGTGTGGTTTATTCTCTCTCTCTTTTCTTTTTCCTTTTTTTTTTTTGGTATTTTTGAAACAGGGTCTCTCTCTAGCCCCAAGTGGCCTGGAACTCACTATGTAGGCCAGGGTGGCCTCTGCCTCCCAAGTACTAGGATTAAAGGCCTGCACCACTATGCCTGGCTTCATTCTCTATTTATATTGAATTTTTCAATATAATGCACAGTCTACACAGTAGTCAATCAATATATTTGGGTAACACTAAGCAATATATTTGGTCATAAAAAAATTCGACATTTTCAATTTTATTATGAAATATCCATTTGAAAATAAAATTATATTCTGCTACATTCATACAAAAAATAAGATGCACAACTACAGACACAAAATATATTGCCACAGTGAAGGAGCTCATTTTATTTCTTCCAGTCACTTAAAAGGCATTCTTTAAAAAAATAGTTACCTGATCACAGAAACATTGAGATTCTATTCTCTACTTCCCTCAGGAAGAGATGTTTCAAGGAGAATATCTGAATTTGTGAAACTGCTCTATCCTTACCAAACTGCATTTCACCTTTCACTTTACAGGGTACTGTTAATGTGACAGAAAAATCGCTCTACCCACCACATAAACTCAGCAAGTTGTATTCAAGATAGGCCAAAGCGTTACATTCTAAAACCTGACAAATCTTTACATGTTTGAGAGAAATACTATAAATTTGAATTGTTATTTATTTTGACAAAGTAAACCTATTAAAAAAAGAAATATAAATGAATGCTTAAAATACACAGGACTGTAATGTATAGAAAGAATTTTAGTGTATTTCAAGGAGAGCTTATTTATAAACTCAAACTTCTTATTTATGAATTGTGCACATCTTTCATAGAGAAATATAAGGCTATTCACTCACAAAAACATTCTCAGATGAGCATGCAATTTGCAATTTTTTGGAAAATTAGAAATGATAGGCTATGAATTACTTTCAATCTAAATTGCCTTTGGGGGCCAAAACTCAAAGGAAAAAGACTAAGGATGTGGTATGTGCCCATTAAAGTGATCCTTCATCTCTCTTCCTAAAAGCATTTTCTTCTTAGCAAATATTTCTCTTCTTAAAAGACTCTAATTATGCTGGGCATGGTAGTGCATGCCATTAAATCCCAGCACTCAGCAGAGGTAGATGGATGTCGGTCTGGTCGACATAGTAAGTTCCAGGGCAGCAGCAAGACTTTGTCAAAAAAAAAATCATATTCAGGAGTGGTAGTAATAATGAGGAGCAGATTATTATGGAAAACTCATGTTTTAAAGGAGCAAAGAACTTTAGAAGACCTTAAAAGGTAAAGCACCAATAGTTATGCTGACCACTAAAGGCACACTTAGAGTATTATCTTCCTTTGTTCCTCTGTCAGGAAAGGGCTAGGAGCAGACCTTATCACCAGACCAACTGCCTGTCTCAATTACCAGTGCTGAGGTTAGGGCAGTACGCTGAACCCCCAGCTTTTTATGTGGGTTTTGAGGACCCAAACACAGGTCCCTCATGCTATAGACTGGCACTTTACTGACTGAGCCATCTCCTCATTCCCAAACAATCTTACAGCAATAACTGGAAAGGACAAGAGAAGGCTAAGAAAACTGATTAAGATTCTGTCATCACTAAGTGAAAACAAATAAATATCTGATATCTCAAAAACTAAAACAAAGCATGTAGCCCCAAATATATAACATATGTGAATATATA